CAATAAGACGGTTCAGAGTTCAGACAAGAAGAGACTATTAAATCACACGTTACTGGTTGATTAATTCAGCCATTAACATGCAACAATCTATTCCACTATCCCCGACCGTACAGAAAAGTTCCTGGCAACTACAGGCATGTATTTGTTTTGTAAGCTACCTCCCACAAATGAAGAATTCTACTTACCAAAAATATTGATCCCTAGGCGATTGTAGATTGGGGAGAAGAAACCATCCACAAATTTAATGAAATGCCATGTGATGTAGAATGTAGTAGCTATTGGAAGAAGAATGACACTGTAAAGAAAAAAAAAATCAGGAAACATATCAGGAAAGTCGATATTTTTTGACTGCAGTGTATGCATTTCAAGAGAATGCAATGGTAAATATGAACCAAATAGCTTTAAAATATTAAATTTTAGTTCAACACTAGTTAACTAAGCCTTGATGGCAAGTACCAAGTAGTTGGAAATGGCTCCATAAACATGGGAAATTACGGTGTTAATACCGCATCAATTTTTCGGACAATTTATTTGCATCCTAAACTCTTGCAGAATGCCACGAAAGAAATTAAACATTGTTAAGTCAAGCAAAACTGGAATTAGAAGAGATAAGAAGTTACCATCCTGTCATAAACTTCTTGGAAGCCCAGCTGCGGATGACTTTTGAAAATGCCTGTACAAAAGTAATAAGCATAGAATTCATGTAACTTTCCCAAGAAAATATTTAATATTTTTTTGTTTTTTGGTTCTTTCTGGGTCAAGAAGAAAACATTTCATCCAACATATCATAATACAAGTAACGAGAACATAGACAAAGAGATCACGATATTGCAGGCTAGGGCTAAGATCGATCAAACCAAATTCAACATAAAATCTACGCCCTGTATATATATACATTTCATGCATATTTGTGATCATTTAATATATCCAAATTAAAACTGAAGAAAAGGCAAAGAAAGGAAGAAAGTGAATCACCTCGCGGCCAGTGGTGTGATGGGGATGGGATGTGGTAGGAGGTGGTGAGTTGGCTGGGGAGGAGGATTTGGAATCTGCATTTTCGTTACTTGGTGCAACTGGGATGAGGAGCTCTAGATCCCTCTCCCTTTCTCTCTCTCTTGTCGCCATTGTTTTGCTGTTTGGGTGTTGGGGTTGTCTCTCTCTCTCTCTTCTGCCTCCCTTTGAGTTTGGCAGAAATACTAGGACCACTATAACTGAAAATCAAATTTAACCAATCATAGCTCCTCACCTGTTACTTATAAATCCCTCCCGGGTTGAACCGGTTCTATAATAAATTTATTTATTTTTTAATTTCATTTTTTCCTCAAAGTCTGTCAATAGAAATACACCAAGCCAATGCATATAGGAAAAACCATGTTTCAAATAGCATATCTTATAATATATAGGAATAAATATTATAATCACAATCAAGGAAGCATTCAGATACAGAGTTCAGTCTTATAAACATAAAAGATAAAACTCTGCAGCTCTCACTCTCACTCTCGCTCTCAGAAAAATCACAAATAATTTACATGAAGGGGGGAAAGTTTCTAACTTGAGCTAAATAATATAAGAACATTTCTTCACAAAGAATCCTAATTCCTGTGCATACATAAAAGGAGAGCCACAACACTGAAAATTCTTCTAAGTTCCTGCAGGTTTAGCACCTGCATGCCATTGCCAACCTTTATTTGGTAATTCTGGTGACATATAAGCCCCTCCGTCTCTTTATCTTTAGGTACTTCCACCTGGGTAGTGGCAGCCATCATAGCCTACAAAACAGAAAACAAAACAAGTTTAAAAATTTTAAAAAAGAAGATCAAGATCAATGCTTGAAGACACACAAAAGGAGTTGGGATTCAGAGAAACACTTACTGGGATTGTTGGATGAGAGTGTAGCTGTTTGTGAGAAATCGCAATTCAAAGGATCCCCACCAGCAGTTTGATAGAGGAGATTCATGGCATAAGCAGCATGGGATTGTACTGTGTTTGGTTCAAAACAAGCCCCGCCTTGTTGAATTGGGCTGCAATCAAAACCATGTCCACAGACATAATCTATATTGGCCTGCAACTGGGAATCTGATACTCCGGCCTTCGGCAAACACCACGCTGCCTTCTTTGGCTTTGGCGCCGATGGATTAACTGGCGTTTTGGGTACTGCAGAGGGCGTGGAGGGCGTGGTGGAAGGCGTGGTGGAAGGCGTTGACGGCGTGGAGGAAGGAGTGGAAGGGGTCTGAAGCAAAATAAATCAAGTTAAATTCAATGGCTACAACAAAAACACCAATGACAATGATCAAAAACTGCTTAAACATATAAGTAGCTCATAATCCATGAATTGGGACCTTAAGATTGGTAAGTTTTTCTTATTCATTGTTCTTATCAAGCGCCATTAATGACATGATATAATTGATATTAACAAAAAAATCTACACCATATCTAAAATGTACACATTGAAGATCAAAATTTGATACTCGATCATGATGATTTTCAGTTTTTCACCTGTCCAGTCTTGGAGAGGCCAACATCATAAGTCATGGTGAGGTCAGGCTTGAAGAGACCAAAAGCTCTCTCAGAACCAGGGCCAGGCTTCAAGTTCTCATCGTACAGTGCAAAGAGGTAAGTGTCAACTGACTTCCCTGGCATCAATGGAGTCCCAGCCATTGATCGAAGGTGTGCAATCAAGTTACCGTTATAAGCTTTGGCGTTCTCAACACTGGGCCCCACCTCATTGCTGTCCCCTTTGTAGGGCCAACCAGTCTCAGCCACTACAATTTCCACATTCTTGGCTCCCATTGAGTCCAATGCAGATCTTATTGCATCCACCTGCACAGAATTGGCCACTTTTACTTGACAATTAAACGGTCTTGGACCGGACCGACCGGCCCAGACAATTTACTTAACCGAGTAAACCTGGTTCACTCACCTGAGCATCGAACATGTTCATGTATTTAATATTTGTTTTCGAGTCGAACCGGCCCCCGTTCGGTTGGAACAGACAAAAAGCTAGCGTCTCCGGTCTCGGGTCGCTTCGGTAAGCGAAGTAGGGGTACGGGTTGATTGCGAAAGGCGAACCTGTGGCAGAGTTAAACGCGAGCAACCACTTCATGACGTCGCCAAAACCGGGGTCGAAGCTTCCAGAAGACGGCGGTTCAGATTGCTTAAGCACCGCCATGGAATGGACGGTGGAGACCTTAATCTTCCCGCCCAAAGATGCGGAATCGAGGGCGTTTTGGACATTCTGAATCGCCGGAACCAACTGAGAAATCAAGCCCTGGTCGCCGGAGGTCAAGACTTCGTTGCCGACGGTGATGAGAATGATGTTGCTTGCCGGATAGAACGGGGCCACGTTGGCGTCGATCCAGCTCTTGGCGAAATTCTGGTCGGATGCAAGACCCGGGATGTCGCCGTTCGCCGCTCCGATAACAATTCCGACGCCGGTGTTCGCTAGAGCTTTGATTATGGCCGGGTCGGATCCGTACAGCCGGACCTTTTGGATTGAGGTGGACTGTAGTAGCTTTGCGGTGGCTGAAGGTGGTGGGAGGTTGTCGGCGACTTGGCCGTAGTTTACGCCGATAAATGATTGGCAGGCTGCAATTAAAAAGAAAAAGGATCATAACTTTATAGCTCTGCGGCTCTGCCAAACAGAGCATTTGTTTCTGTAGTTTAATTCCTCAAACAAAGATACACTTTTTCTTCTTTAAAAGAATTTTATTATATGGGAACAAGAATTAAGAGCTTACTTGCGAGGTTAACAGCCAGAGTGAAAAACGCTAGAGTACGAAGAAGCATAATCGCCATGGCTGTAGAAAGGTCTCTGTTTCGCAAGGTAAACAGAGTGCTCTGTTTCTCTGAAGGTGAAGCAGAGTGAAGCAGTGTGCAAAGGAATTAATAGATGGCAGGCAGCAACAGGACTTGGGGCAAAATCGTAAAGTGATCTTTCGGTGGGCTTCGACTTTACAAAAGCAAAAATGGCACCACCGCTAGTCTCTCTCCACTGTGGAACTAACTAAAATCGTAAATACACTTGGGTTATCAGACATGTGGTACGGATCCAACGTAGGAAGAAGACTTGTCGGATCAAGTTAAGCATTTGATTTATAAGTCAGTTCAATATGTTAATCAAAAGAAGACAACAATATCTAAAGCAAAAAACCTCTTTTGTTGTTGATCTATGATCTACCATATTTTACTTACTCAGTAAGCAATGGCATTTCCTTTTTAGAACGTGACGACATTTCCAGCCTAAAAGAACTTTGAGCAACGTAGAAAAGTAAGGCATTTGCAAATTAAAGAGATCTGAAAAAAAAAAGCTTCTTATATAATAGTAGAATATGAATTGCTTACTTCAGGAACAAACACGTAAAGGTAAGCCAACTTTAAGAAGTTGGGTATAATTGGTGCACAAGTAATCTTATGTGTTTGGTTTTTTATTCAGAGTGTTCGATTTTTTGCTTAACGAAGTTCTGTCTTTTGTTTTATTGAGTTTGGTTTTTGCTTCATAGGGTTAAGATATTTTTCTTCATAGGGTTCGACTTTTTCTTTAATAGGGTTTAATTTCTGCTTTACTGGGTTCGGTTTTTTGCTTCATAGAGTTCGATTTTTTGCATTATTGTGTTTGGTTTGTTCGGCTTTGAAAGGTCCAATGAAGTAAAAGTACGAACTTTATGTTAAGAACCATGGGTAGAACTCGGCTTGTAGAGGAAGGGTGGCCGTGAACTATATGATATGCTATTTTTCCAACGTGAGATCTTGAGTCCTAATGCCAAAAAAAGAACTCTGTGAAGCCAAAACCTAACTCTCAAGAAAAAAAAACAAAAGTCGAACTTAATGGAGTAAAAAGTTGAATGGTTTGAAGGGAAAATCGAACCAATGAAACAAAAAGCTGAACAAACCCGAACTTAATGAAGAAACAGACAAGAGCATGAAGCAAAAAACTAAACCCAATGAAGCAAACGTACTCAGGAATTTAAAAACCAAATATGAAACTGTGATGAACATTTTGATTGCTGGAATAATTCCTCGTAACAAAACAAAAGAGTGCACTCATTACAAGTTCAACGTATGAACGAGAAATCCTGCAATAAAGGATTGCATTATAATTCATCTCTTACAAAACCAAGTAAACCAGTTGAATAATGAAACAAACTTTTCTCAACTTGTTGCAGCAATGAAAAGAGTGTCACGCATATAAGAGGTCTCTGGTAAGCTCGTCTACAAGTCCGCTGAGCACAAGCCTCTCCAAATCCTTTATAACTTCATCTACTTCAAGAATTGCAAACATGGTCTCATCCCAACCCATGTCCCACATACAACTTATGTCAGGCTCCAAGTTATGCATATCGCTTTCGAGCATTTTCGGCACATACTCTTCAGCTTCACATTCCAGTTTCCCATTTCTACCATATAATTTGAGCTTTTCGAAATCGTTATGCAATTGTTTAACCAACTCATCCAAGGACTGTGTCTGGATGAAACTTATTGATATCTTCACACAATTAGGATGAACATTGAGCTCTTGCCTTCTCCCTTTTCTTTTCATTACTTCATAGCCACAGTCTAATGTGAGCTTGCTATCTTCATCCTGGCTGCAATTACGACCACTGTCATGAAGAATGCCAAATGGGATATCAAGTTTGAAAAGTGCCTCTGCTGTGTTTAGAAACAGTTGACTCTTTATCACTATCTGCTTCAGGCGGTTTTCACTTTCTGTGAGTGGCTCTTGTTTTCTCCAGTTGAAAGTTTTCTTGTGCTCCAATTGCACTGGATGAGAAATGTCTAAGCTGTCTTCATGGGTTCCTGCAACTTTCAGGAAAGTAACAATTTTTCATTCTGAAAGATACTAAGATGGGAAGTTGAATTGAAAGCAGAGGTTCTACTTACCATTAAGTGTATTTGGTCCAGTTGTGCACTCGTCATCTCCAAAAACAGGTGCTTGATCTTGCTGATTATCAGTTACTAAGACTGTGTTTTGACACTGCATAGCATCCAACAAAGCTTAGTTGAGTTCCCCATCAATTTTGGATTGAGCGGAAGTAATGTAAATGAAAAAGTACACTTTATTTGCAATTCTGGATGTGTGCTGGAGTAAAGATGAACTTACAATGTCATTTGGAACGAGATTTTGTGGTTCTTTAAGGCTTCGGCATTCAAGTTCATTGAAATCATACAGAGTGGAAGCCTGCTCAGCTTCCTTTTGTATGTTTTGTGCCGAAGCTGATGGTTGAATGCTTGATGTTGATTTGTTGGATTTGATGATCCGTGGCTCTGCTTGCTTCAACCTGCTGGTTTTGACTTTTTCTGCTACATTATGGCCACCGAGTTTTTCATGGCTTCTGTGTGCAACTTCTTGCAAAATGGAAGTCTGACGTTTTAGTGGCCTTGTCAAGTTATTCAGCGTTCCATTTCTTCTGGTCACTACTTCGTCGATCCTTCCAGGGATTTCGCTTTTATTCACTCTTCTAGATTTTGCTTTCTGTAAGGGTGCTACATGAACAGGCCTCTCCTCCATAACTGGTGAAATGCCAAAATTTTCTTTTGCTGGTTCAGGGCCTTGGTCATTTGGAGAAAAATCTTTCATACTCAAATGCAACTCAGCAGAACTTTTTCTTCTGGCCAGATTTCCATTGTAGGTGCCATTTGGAACTCCTTTGGATTGCACTGCAGCAACGGCTTCTCTCATACTTTTCTTATTTGCCCTAGCTTGGTCTGTATGTAGCTGCTTTTTTTGCAAATCTCCTGCTCCTTTTGATATACTCTTGGATATCGTTTCACTTCCTCGTTTTCTCGACTGCATCTTTTGTTGTGCACTCTGCTGCTCCTTCACCTCTCCTATACGCTTTTCTTCTGGTGACTCCGATCTCCAAAGCATGGATGGCTGCTGAAATTCATGATTGTTCTGCGACTTGTGCTGATTGCTTGGGAGAACCTTGAACCCTGTTTTTTCTTGCATCATAAGTTCAGCTTCAAAACCGTTATGTCCCACAGGTTTATCTGGTTTGACGATTTGAGGGGATTTCTGCTGCTTATCTGTTTTGGCGGATGTCTTTCCTGGTCCTTTCACAGGTTTTGGTCCTTCCAAGTCCTTCCAGGGTGATTTCCCATCATGAATAACCACCTCAAGGCTAATATTGTTGGCAATCTTGCCTTTTTCTGCTTGCAAAACAAAACTAGTATTCTGCAACAAAGGATACTTATTGCCTTCTACAACTTTTTGTCTATTTGTAGATGCCAAATTCTCAATATCCTTAGTCCTAACTCCAGAAATCTTACTGGTTTCCTGTATTGTTTGCCCTATCGCCCGGCTTTCTCTTTTTGGTTTGGAACTGGAGACTTTCTGTGCGGTGTGCTTCAAGTTCTCATTTTCTGGAAGCTCATTCAGTCCCATTAGTTTTGCAATTACGTTAGGAATCCTTTCCTTTTCTTGTTTAGACTCTTTCTGGTCTGAAGATATTGATTGGTTCTTGACACCAGGGCTATAGCTGACTGATTTCCTCTGAGAAACTGATGTGGAGGTTATTTTGCCTTTCTTTTCATGGTTGAAGCTACTACCTTCAGTAGAGTAAGTGAGAGCTGCGGTCACCTTCTGCTTGAGGCCCGTCCTTCCAACTTCTTGGATTTTATGAGCGTGTCTTGAGGACTTGTCGAAGGAGAACCTTGGTAGATCCAGTTGCATTTGCTCAGCTGGTTTGACAGTGTTGTCTTCATCATCCTCATCATCTTCATCTAGTAATGTGATCCGATTTTTCCTCTGTGAGCTGACCATGTATTCTGAAGCTTCCTGCAGGTTTACAAGCATTCTCAAGGACTCTTCCAAATCCATGGCTCCTTGCATGAGTTTCTTCCCAATTTCTATTGAAAATTTATCAGCATTAATGCCATTAGAGCATGCTCTTAGGATTTGGTTTAATTTCTGTGCCCCTCTTGATATTTCTTCAATATGGATATTAGAAAGGTTTGGAAACTGGTTAGTTGAACCCCAGTAACTATTTACACTTCCTTTTCTTTCCAGCTTTCTAAAGTCTATGGATCCCCTTCCAAATTGATTCAAAAATCCCAGCATTGTACTTCTGCTAGATGAATCTGTTCTGCCGAGTTTTCCTCCATTCTCGAGTGCAAAAGCCAAGGCCATGGACAGATCTCCTACTTGTCCTGAGCTCCTATCTCTCCCATAAGCAACAATCTGATTTGAAGCCTCTTGAATGATAGGTGTTCTACCACTTCCTCTATAACTGTTTTGGGGGTTCCCAGTTCTTGAGCCAATCTGCATAAGTGGGGAAAAAAAAGAAAAACACTCAGACTAAGTGAAGTTCATTTTGTCTGCTTAACAAATAATCAGATCAGAACAATTTCAGGTAATGATTTCTGACCGTTCCATTTGTCCTCATATCCCCTCTTCCTCTATGAGTTTGCTTGGAATAAGCATATGCATCTGTATCAAGACATGAAAGTTGACTGAGTGAAATGGGAGTAAGCACCTTCTTTGGCTCAGAAGTAGAAAATAGCAAAAGGAAAACAGAGTATTTTTGCCTATCTATCCTTCTTTTGCTTTGCTGTTTGTTTAGATAAAACTTTGTCTGGTAAAATCACTATCCAATACAACTCACCCCCAACCCCTTAACAAATTTCAAAAGTACTGAGTTATAGCTTGCTTATAAATCTAAGCTTGTCAAATTTGTTGCAGTGCCTAAATATTTGATTTTTTTATACCTATTTTAATCTGAGAACACAAACACACCAAAGATGTCTACTTCTACAACAACAATGAATTTATGATTACTTGCAGCCCTGGTAAAAGGATGTTCATTGGCCCATCACCTGATCACTTCTAGCTCTCACAAACGAAGTACAAACAAGGTAATTGTGTTTGTGTTTTAGCTTATCTTCAAGAAGTATTTCTTTCTGCTTTAAGTAATATAGCTTAAGTTGCAGCCTTAATTCATGCTCTTTGCCAATGATGAACAATTAAATATGGAATTCATAAATACTTTACCTATGGCCATTGAGTTAGAACGGTTGGAGCTCTGAGGTGCAGCCATTTTTTCCTTCCGGACGCGCAGATCATCCAACAGCTTCTGCGCAAAATCCGATCGCTTCGCCATGTTGTGCTTGCAGACTTGCAGTGCAGCAACTCTGTTTCAGCTCTCTCCAATATCATCCAGCTACAAATTGGTAGATTTCATTTACAAATACAGAAATGAGAAGGGATGGTCTGTTACTTTAATTTGTGGGTGGCAGGATCCTTTCAAAGTTTGGTTTAGGTGGGAAGTCTAGTCCCAGCTAAAATAAAAATAAAAATAATATTAATAGAAATTGTTTTGATCATAATAGCATAGAAAGGTTTGAGTGAACGTCAGCTCTCTCTCTATCTGTGTGACATTCGTGTGCCTGACTTATATTCCAATCTAAGCAATGGCTGAGATTTCAAGAAGCTTCTCTTCCAAGCTTTCTTTTTCAGCAACTTTTTCCTGTTTCGCTTGGTCTTAAAATGGGTATGAGTATCTGCTTCTGCTTCTGCTTCTGCTTCTCTCTCCATGAGAAGAGTCTCTGAAACTTTTAGTCTTCATGATGATTCGGAAGAAAGTGGAAAATGGGAAACGTATAACTCACGACAAAGGATGATTAATTATGAAGGGTTGAAATTGACAACTAAATAAGCAATTAACATCTTGATAGTTCGGATGAGACGACTTTTCAAAAAAACAAAGACAAAAACAAAAATATTGAGACTATTATTAAGTGCATGATTCCATGAATGAATATGGTATCTACGTTTGGTTGAGTGTCTTCTAGTTTTTCTCCGTCGTGACTCACGGAAAGCATCGTTTGTGTTGTCATCTCCATTCACCGAGTTTTCTATGCTTTGCTTTCTATAACAAATAATTTTAAAATAATATAATTTAAAATTTTAAAAAAAACAAACAAACAAACAAATTTAACCTCATAACATTAGTAAAATAAAGCAAAGATGGAGACAGCAGATCCGACTGCCTCCTCTCACACATAACCTTCGCATGCTCAAGTGACTAACCATCCTTCTCTTTCCAATGTTGAAAAAATTTATAATTCGATTCTTTATAATAATAACAAAACAAAAAACTTATACCTTCCTATTTAGTGTCTAATTTTACTTCTTATATTATCCGACTAATATTTACTCTTAAAGCAAACACTCTTCTAAGTGAAAGAGAAACCCAATTCACTCTTAATTATCTCGCATTCCTTATATTTCCTCATCATACTTAATTTTTATCACATTACTCCTACATGCGTGTGATGGTTGATTAGGATTAGGGGTGGACACAATCCAAATTGGATATGTTTCATCTCAAAATCACGGTCAAATAAATTACAATATAATGGTTTGGTTCAATTCGATTTTGATAAAAGTTCTAAAGAAAATCGATCAAACCAAACCAATTTAAGATAGTTTGGTTCGGTTTGGTTTGGCCGGTTAGGGCCTAAGCCCAATTCTCTTTTCTTTTGCCTTTTTAAAAAAAATATTGTTAACCCAATTACAACAACAAAATTAACAACTTGCTCCATAATTAAATCATTTTATAGAGTACGAAACCATCCTAAAGCCTAACATGTCATAAAACTTCAAATTTCAATTATTAATATAGCTCAATTCAAATATTAAGATATGATTATTACCTAATTAGAGTATTACACAAGTAAAATATAATATAAATAATAAATATACACATAAACGGTCCGGTTTGGTTTAGGCCAGTTTACAAAAACTTAAAATCAAACCAAATCAAGCCATATACAGTCTGATTCAGTTTTTAAATAGTTTGACTCTTTTTTTTTTTAATCAAAACCAAACCATACAGATAATTACGATTTAATTCGGCTGATTTCATCGGTTCAACCGGATTGATACTCACCCTTAATTAAGACCACTGTTGAATAGTCTTAATTTGATTTCCATTCGAATTAAAGGGCCCTTATTATTTGCACACAAAAAAAAAAAAAAAACTGGCTTTTAGGGCTAGTTTGACATTGCTATGCTGTGAAAATAATTGCTATCAGATTTGATGTAAGAAAAATTAGCTATGAGATAAAATAGTTTGGCGTTTGGTAAACTTTTTGTTCTAAGTGTTATTGGTACTAATTTCCACATAATTAGAAAATGATTGCCGCATAATCATTAAACTCAGTGCCTTTTTGAAACTGATTCCTGTATAATCAAGAAATAAAAGCACTTCATTAGCCGTTTTCTCTTATAGCTTTATCTCACAACAATTTTTAACAATAAGTGATTTTCTTATAGTTTACCAAACGGGCTGTGCTTCCCAATTTTTTTTTAAAATCACTTATTATTCCAAATAATTAATGTTAAACTGGCACTTAATTAACAAATGCAAAGAATTTATAGTTGGGCCTCTGTGGAAGGTAGTTGTCTTTTAGAGAAAGCCCAGCTCAGATTGGTTTTCCCAACCCTATGTGCAAGATAGCTGTCTTTTCTAGAAAGGCCAGCCCACGACTGATTTTCCGAATCCGAACCCAAGTTCATCTCGTATTTTAAACCAACCACCAGGCAACATGCAAACCACGTGTGCCGGTTAGAAAAAAATATCTCACCATCGAGAACCTTCTTCGCATAAGAGCCGTCGATTCCTTGCCCAAATCTACGGGCTCAAATCGCCAAATTTTCAGGTGTTTTCCTAACAATGTGAATCCGACGGTTGATATTTTAAGCCAATCACCACAGCCGATGGATTGTGCATACATTCCAATATAAATTTACGACCCCAGGTCTATTTTCATCAAGTATTATAGCGTCGCCGGCAGATCATTTGTTTTCTTTCGGCCTCTCGCATCCTTGATCATACATCTCTTTTTTACTTGTTGATCTTTTCTTCTTGATTTTTCTCATACAAATTTCGACCGTACCATTTCTTGATCGTTTCGGTAACTCGTTTCTTTTCCCGCTTAAAGTTTCGTGGCCAATATTGGATATGAATTTATTGTCTATGTCACATGTTCAGATTCTCGTTTTCGTTTCGGATCGGATAATCCGATCCGCAAATCGGAAATCGTTCCTCCTGAATCCAGTTTCGTTTCCGATCTTGGTTCTTGTTTTGTTCACATAACATCAGCTCAATCTCAATTTCTTATCCGATCGGGAAAGACCGGAAATCTTCCCTCATGAATTTTACCGGTCATGGCTCTGGATCTGTTCATACCGAAACGTAACAATCTCGTTTCCATGTCGGATCGGGAAAGATCGGAATATTCTCCCTCATCAATCCGTCAAGGTATATATTGGATCCGATTAAATTTAATTTTATGCTTCTTGAGCATGCCTGTTTCCTCATATACTTTATTCTTTTATTATTGTTTTTCAGACGATAAACCGTCGCTAATTGTCAACGGAGCAATTGCTTAATTTTGTTCGTACGATTCTCTGCTTAAGTTGCTTGGATTGTGATGAAGACGATGGATGATCCACATAATCATGAAACTGTACTGTCTTTGTAAGTTGTTATAATAATTTCATCATGAAGACAATGGATCTAGGCTGACCGAGGGAAGCTAGGAAAGAGT